ACTATATTTGACTAATAAACTATAACCAAGCAGCAGCTAGAGAAACAACACAGCTAAAAAGTTTGCCAAAAAGCAGCCGGAAAAATGATACAGACTCGTATGAAAAAATATGATGACGTCGTTGAATAGAAATGGAGCGGGATGAATATAGATGGATGCTTTAGAAGCCTGTGCTGGTCAATTGCTCGTTCTCGTTTGTTATGCGCTACGCCCGGGTGGTTAGGTGGATGGGTGGTTGAGTGGTCGGGAGTCTGATGAACAAACAAATAGACAAACAAGCGACCATTCGACGGCGACGACAATGGCTACTGTGGGCGCACATTGCTTTCGAGGAGAGGAATCGAAACGGGTGGGGTTGAAGGCATCTCCAGGCCAAAGGGCCACCATATGACCTATAAAAGTAACGCAAGCATGCTAAGAGTGTGGGGGTGGGGTGTGACAAGTGTGGCCATCGCAACGCGTCGCGACATCGTAATCAAAAAAGCGGCGAGTAATGGAGCGCACGGCAGCACAGCGACACAAGTGTGCGGCGCAGAACTGGACCCAATGGGATATGAATGCATCAGCGACGCACTCTACTACATTTTGCCCACATCAATATAAAAACATTTCCTTGTATCGCTCCTGCCCGATCCCAGCCAGGAAACCAACTATAAACTTATTGTATTCCTTTTTTTTCGCAAACAAGACAGCGGACATATTCGCCACATCCCGCCCCAAAGCAGAGCGCCCAACGACTGTGGAAAAATGAAATAAAATGATAAGCGTGAAATAATAATGAGGAGCGTGTTCCGGCATAAATCTGCCCACGTCTTTCAAATTTATTTAAATTCAATGGCGCTCTTGCAACGAAAGGGTTACCCTTGCAATGGGTGCTTTAATTTTGTGCCGAAACATGTCACGCATTCGTATATGTCAAGCCCCAAAATGTGCATATATTTGCCATCCGCATCGACAGCTCACTCGATATAGATATTCTCGTCTATCAGTTTCCGCGCAAACTAATCTTAAACCTATAAGAATACGTCAGAGAACTTTGCGTAGAGCTGTTTTATTTTGCATACAGTACAAAGCTTAGTTTCATTAGCAAGGGTCAGAAGAAAATTATGGGGCTAGTTATACAAATTTTTTTTATAAAGCCCAGCATTCAAATTAGAAAACAAATCCATTTTTAAAGTATTTATTTAATACATAGTAATACATATATACAATAAAGCGGTAAAATAAACTGTGATATTCAGTTACTGATTGGTCTATTATATCTTATATATGTCTAGAAGGGTATTTAAATTTCGCCACCCAAATAATAACTGTTCTTCCTTTCTTTAAAGGCGTTTTGTATGATGATGCCCATGTGTGAGGTAATGGGGCGAGAGATCCACTCTCGTAAATTTGTGTTAAGTGATGTGTGCATCGCTTTTGAGTGGGGACAATATTTTATGTATTCACAGACAACTGAATTTTAAGATGGAGCTTTCCTAATGATCGCAAACACATATATTTGTATATTTTGATTAAATTTAATTTAATTATTTGAAATATAAAATCCGCAAAATTCCAAGGGGATATATATGTTAATACGAGGCTATTTAAACTGGATTTCCTAAACTAATTGTTTTTCTCGTTTTCAATTTTCTATCAACTCGAAAAGTTTCCCGTTTTCGTTGATATTTAAAAATGATTTTACTCTGTTACATACAGACATATCCGAATTGTTTTAGTCTCATATTAAATATATATCTGAAGTTAGGTCCGGTAAAATTTTATTTATTTCACATTTAATGCAAATGAATTAAATTAAACTGAAATTGTATTAAGCATTTGCTTCAGAAAAAAACTCCATTACCAGCTATTTATTGTTGTACTGTAAATAAAAATATAAATATGCTATAAGCTTAAATAGGTTATTTAATTAATTTCCTTCTCCATTTCATTTTAGGTGAATTTTTTTTTACTGTGACCCCCTGAAGAGATGAGAATTTGGACGACAGCTGTTTCGGGTAAGTCTATCCCACATGCCAATCTATATATAAATGAACGAAATAAAAGGAACAATATATGGCATCAGGCGAACTATCAATTTAAAGTGTGGCGCAGGTGCATCTAGCAGATACAAGACAGACTTCAGCCCTTAAGGCGCACAACTTTCTTATTATGTTTCCGTTTTTATTTGCCAACATGATTTTTGCTAAATTACAATCCCGAGGCAATAGCAATGCGTGTGGCATATGAAATAGTTGGGCACGAGTTTTGTACCTTTTGCCATTTATTTTTCACATTCGCCTAGCCAAATGCCGACTCGATATGAAAAAGGCAAAAGTTGATCAAATAAATGGCGAAATTTCCATATCCTGACGATAAGCTCTGGAACGTGTTTTCATATGTAGCTGCGCTCAAAGATTTCCATCAATCGAGCATAGCCATCCACAGACTAAGCAGCCCAACAACCCACCAGTCAGCGGCCAAGTATCAACTTGTGCGAATCTGCAGCTCAGGGTGGTTGCTCTGTGTGTTGTGCATGGCTAGTCCTGCCGATTCCATTAGGGCGGAGGCCGGGATGGGGATAACGATGGCGGCAGGTACAACCCTCATCGTTTAACTAACTAAATGGGTTGGCTGACGAACGTGACTCGCAAAGCCTTTGGTTCGAAAGCGTTGGCCCATACTTTAATTTCAAACTCCAGGTACAAGTTAGGCTATGCGAGTAGAACAATGGATGCTGCTCGGCACAAAGCCAATAAAATAAAAACTCTTTTTTTTAAGTATTTCAAAATATGTGATTTATTTAAACCCTATTTTTTTTTAACATTGATCGAAACAAGTTATAATTATGTGAACCATTTAAACTGTACACAAGGGAAAACAATTATTTGTGTTTAGAACTTTTATTTAAACTGGGCAACAACTTTATTTGACTAACTTTGCAACTTGAGTTTCTGTCATTTAATATACGATTTTCATTTACAAATTTTCTTAGTTGTCCCTCCATTTTGTGCCATTGTTCTTTTTCATTCAATTAAGAGCTGTCGCCAAAGCCAGTCACGACTTCGAGCTGGGCAACTAATGAGGAATACATGTAACTACATGTGGTTGCGAAATATCAACGTATGGCTCGCCCCAGTTTATCGTATTGGCAATGTCATTGTCACACTGCTTCAGCTCGACCTACTGCTACGGCTGCGGTTTTTTTCTCTGAATCAATGCTGGGATACAACCCTAGAAATTTAATAAACACGCAAGTGCACGGAAGTAAATTATCCCGTCAGTCAATTATGTAAGCTGCTCCCCCTCCGTCCACTCAAATTAACACGAGCAATGTCAGCTTTTACTCTGGCCGTGGCCCTGTCTGCCCATACCCCTGCCGCACATCTGTCTGAGGTAGATGGTTGTCGTCTTTAGAAGCCACATAAATAAATACCTCGTTTATTTGCTTGCCTGGGCTTGCGTGCGGTTTGAACTCCCGAGTTCGTTCCGGTTGTTGTTTCCTTAAGCTTTATCCACACCCGCTTCAATTGGTTGCTTTATTTGTGGTCGCAATTCGCCAGTGTTTTTGCTTTTAATTAAACGCTTTTCCGTTTTCCCCTCTTCGCAGATAATACTCAAATTAAATATGCCACACTTTGACTCATAAGAACTTCTATGGGCCTGTTGTAACTAACAATTAATTCGATCCAAATAAAGTGTGTACTTGAAATGAAAGTTATTTTATACTCAAGTTTGCCATCCTTTATCTCTAAACCAAACATTTAATTAAGAGATAAACTAAACATTCAGTTTAAGCAAATGCAAAATATCTCTGAATCTCCAGGTCAAAATGCGCAGACGTGTAAAATAATTGCCCTAAAGACGGCTTGCCGCTGTGCAAACGAAATATATTGGAAGCAAAATACATCAAAATTGTTTTCATTGTTTTATTTAAACCAACCCGGATCAAACCCAATCAACTATATAATTATTTGATACATATGTTGACACTGAACACTTCGAGTTAGTTGTCAGTTAACCCGTAAAACTTTTTACGCGCGTTTTATATATATTTGATGTCAATTTCGACTTTTATATTATATATTTTTAGTATTTGCTGTCATAGCCGGCGGACACAGCATTCAATTATATTCAAAAAGAGTTTGGTTAATAGTTAAGCGACTATGTACCCGATGTGGGTTGATACTATATATGAAAACGAGCTTAAGAACCTTTGTAGACATGTTGATTACAGCTTTGCAGATATGTGTAGAAAATTATCAAGCTCTTTTAGTGCAAATACTTTCAAAACCAGTTGTTGATACTGAATAAGAATATATACATTTTTATGGGATTCGAGATGTCCCCTTCTATGCAAGGGTATAAAAACCTTTAGAGTTTTAAAAATGGATGCATCTAATGGTTGTATTATTACCTATTGCTTCAACCTCGTCAGAGAACATAAGATTTTTTCTTTAAATAAAACCGAATTGTTCTTTTGTCCCAGTTGAAAAGTTATCTTCAAAAATTTTAAAAATCAGAAAACTATAAACTATAAGAAACTATATACAGTTCCTAGATCAAGTCTAATTAATCTTAGATTAGATTTAAATAAGACTAGTAAAAAAACATTTGATTGATTTCAACTGCTTCGCAATCCGCAACTCTATTTTTAGAGAACTTCTGCAATTTCAGTTCAAAGCCATCTAAAATCGATTTTTGTTTACAATTTCCTAATCATTTTTGTTTAAACGAGTCATAGACACCAAAGCGCACGGAATGCGCCTGAAATTTGGTTAAACAATGTCGAAATTGTATAAATACATTCGTACATATGTACACATATCAATGTATCTTCGGCAGCAAGCGAAATGAACCGGTAGCAAGTAGTATAATGAGAAGCAAGTTTCTGGCTTGCCATGTCGATGATCTTTTGAATAAATAACGAAATTACGTCTGCAGTGGATGGCTGCCAATGTGTACACCGTCTAAATTCGACTAATAATTCGAAAATACTCTATAAAGATACAGTGTTATTATGCGCTGTTGACTTTCAGATTTGTATTTAAAATTTATTAATGTATACGTACAATAGTTAATTTAAAAACAATAGGCCTTTTGTATGTATTAGGTAACTACAAATATGGATACCTCTGGCTCGATCAAAGCTGGTAAATTACACTTTGGTCGGCTGCGGTTCCAAAAAGTATTCGTTTCATTCATGTTTTTTTTTCGGAGCTCATTTGAAATTTTAATCAGCATTTCGAGCTGCCAATTGCAAAGCGGAATTAAATTAATTTCAGTAATTTTGCAGCGAAATTAGCATCAGCCAGGCGTACCCCCTTAGGAGGGCTCTTGGGCGCCTTAATTACATTAGAGATGCGCAATTAGAGGGCCTGCAAATGTCATAAGAGGCGGACAGACCGGACTGCCTTGTGCAAAGGGTTGCTTCTTAGCTTCTGTGCCCAATGAGCAGCAGAAGGTATTACCAATTGGCCCCTTTAATGACAAGAGGTCGAGCTGTGGATTTTTGGAAGAGCAATCGTAAAAATGAATTATTACATGACAGTGCAAGGGGCCAGACGAACCAAGTATTTCCAGCTGTTCAATGATTAAACTTGACACAGTTGTGTAGTCGTGCTGCTGCGAATTTGAAGTAACTTTGATTTATTTTAATCAACATTTTAAAGGCTGCAATAATTTCATACAATAACTGTAGCAGAAACATAGGATAAAACTGTGAATATTTGCAATCACCACGAACCAGGGAGCTGACCTTTATGGCTTAACAGCTAGACCCGAAAATTAAATACCTAATTCGAATTGAAGCATTAACAACCACTGTACTTCTGTTGAGGCTTATCCATGCACACGTACATATTTCTTACACGCCACTCAGGTCGCACACACTGTGCATCCTTTTCGCTCGCTCCGTTGGTTGGAGGGAGAGCACAAATCTCGCGCGGCAAGTGGCGGCCATTGATATAGGCGGCCAGCCGAGCAGCCTTTACCTCCCCGCGGATGCACAATCCAAGCCAACCCCAACCCAAGACGACGCCTCATATTAATGCAGAGTAAAATCTTGGCCAAAGTGTGGGTAGACAGACGGGCATTTGACGAGGGGCTGAGGATAAAAAGAATCTGTTCTTTTTTCTTGTTATTGTACCATATTCTTCTGCTGATGTTGTGGAATTTAATTTATATTCTAGACCGAAAATACTGCGGCCGCATAAGAATAAAATAAAACGTTGCTTGTATATGTGTCTATGTGTGCGCGTCTGTGTGGGTGTGCCTAGGGCACATTTTCACGAAGCACAAAAAAACATTATGGGTGTGTGTCGGCACATTTATTTACATTTTTTAATGCACTTACAAAAGATACAAAAAAATTTGAATTTCGTTGTAAGGTCGGCAAAAACATAAATTGAAACTATATTTTATTTTACTCCGACTTACACAATTACTCTGTACACACATAGATTGCTTGTCAACAAAGCGAATAAAAATTCTGCACAATTCATGGATTAATGGTCTCGCTCTAACAAATTAACCCTTAAGATAAAAACAAACTTCAGAGCTGACCATTAAATTTGCAAGCTTTTTGTGTTGAGGGTCCAATTATGTTGCAACAAGATCTACTTGGCTAACTACGAAGCGACATTACAATGAAGGCGATTGTGCATTGTGAATTATGAATGATGAATGGTGAGCAGAAGTCGTGCAATGAACCCGCTTTTGTATACCAGCTTAGAGTGAAATTTAAGATGAGCTGCATCCAATTGGCATAGGAATTGCCATTTGTGGAATAAGCCAAGTTTGCGTTGTTTATGGACAAAACTTCGTGGCTCGTCAGGGCAGCGCAATATTTTTCAAAAATTTATATAATGAACATAGTTGGGGGAGCAAACTAGAAGTCTCCACTATCAACCCTCAGCCCGAAGCGCTGTTCGCCTGGCGCTCGTCCTGACGTAACTGAAAATTGTGTGGCCTGGAGAGAGGCATGAACTTTAGGGAGCAATCGTAGGTTTTATCATAGGGGATTTATGTCATATGATGGCAGATTGCCAAGCTGCAGCTACAACTTACAGACGGGACAGATGTACACGAAGCCTTGGCTGCCAACATATCTCTCGGCGTATGCTGCTGTTTTTCATTTGTTTTATTTTCTCTTATTTTCTTGTATGTTTTTTACATTTCGTTCTCGTGTATACCGGATAGAAAAAGTTGAGCTAGTCATGAGCAAGATTGCACAGTGGATGAAAATTGGTCAAATAATTTTGAGCTTTGTAAGTAAAATAATTGGATACTTCCTATTAAAGTTATTTCAGAGTTAGCTATCCAAAGCATGGAGCAGCACCAAGAAAGAGTGCAGATGGTGCACTTGAATGCCATGAATGTATTTATGTATGTATGAATGTATTATGAATGTCAAGTTTAGTGCGTGAAAATTGTTGAAATATGCTGGCCGCTGTGTCTTTCGAACTAGATATGTTTTCCAACTTAATTGAATAAAGCAAAATAAGTATGAAGTGTAATGTATATCTTTATAAATTAAGGATTTATCTGACTGACTGGCAGGCTTTTAGAAAATGCGAACTTCAAGTAGAGGAAAACCATGAAGTCAAATAAAAGTGCTTTGCTTACAAGATCTTAAGGCCTGTGGTGCTTTGGTACCTGGGCAGCGATTTTCAATTTTTATCTTTGCTTATTACATTTATTATTATCAACGAACCAAAAAGCGATAAATAAAAAAAAATCAACAAATCGGATGGGAGTTAATAATTAAAGTTTTTCTTTTGTTTTGCCAACCATGCTGTCCTGTTTATTCATTAGGGATTCGGATTATAAAATGTTATTTTTTTTTTAGGATTGTAAGAAGTTATTTTTTTTACAAAAATCTGCTTTGCACTTTTTTGAAAAATTGATCCACCTGGGTGAACAATGGGTTATACCAGATATAGTGCTCGCTATGTGCAAATTGAAAGATTTGAAATTTTTTACCTACATATATATTATTATGTAAACAACTTTACTTAAACTTATATGAGTATCTACAAAACTAATTAAACTACTGCTAAGTCTATCACGTGAAGTGAATAAAAGATATTAACTTGAGCCGGGAAAGGCTGGGTCCCGCCAGCTAGTTTTAAGAACACCTTTAGGTGTTAAATAAATATATAGAAAATCATAGGGGTTGTACCTTTAATATTTAAAAAAAAATGGTACTAAAATTATTTTGCCGCATTTGTCCCACAGTAATAGGCACCGAGCAGCCAATTTGCTGTGGTCCATCAATATATACTGCATGTACACATCTACATCCACATCGGCATCCAGCTGGCTAACAATCTAAATGGCCAACCAGCCAGAGCCAACCAACTGCGCTATCGAGGGCGCCTGTTGTCGGGTGGTTTGCAGATTTGCTGCAGTCGTCTGGTGTTCTTTGAGAGCCGACCCGAGGCTCAGACGGTGAGAATGGGGCTAAGAGCGAGGAGCTTAAGTGGCTCCATGTACTTTGGAGTTCGACAGTCGCTGGCTGATGCTGAAAAAAATATGTGCATAAATTTAAAGAATCTCAATTTACTTGGTTCGTGTTCATTGGTGCGCTGATGCTTTGGCTTTGGGTCCACATACGCCTCCGACTGCGACTCCTGCTCCGTCCTGTGATTTGTGAGCTCAATTATTGGACTTTTTCTTGTCTTGCTGTTGCTGTTACTGTTGCCACTACCGTTGTTCTTCCCCTCGTTGCTGCGACTGTCGCTGTCGCCTCTCCACCAAGTTCTGTTTCTAGCGTCAAGCTTTGTTCCATCACCGGCGCGGTTGTTTTTTGTGGTTGTCACTTTGTTATTTATTCAGCGCCATGGCCCGCCCATTGACCGGGCTGTCAGTCGAGAGCATGACTGAGGCTGTGGCTGTGGCTGCGGCTGTGGCAATAGCTGTGCCTGGGTCTCGAGCTATTAATGAGTTCGTTCGCGTTCTCATTCGCGTACGGCTCCATCTCCGACTTCAAGTTGGCGGCCTTCCCATTTGGATGCTAATGAACGCTTGGCATCAATAAATTTAGTTTGCCGGGCTTTGCTTTTATCGCGCCACTTGCATAATTCACTCGCTGCAGGGCGGGAGACTGTTGGGCCTCTGACGACGACTGGGCACACTGATAGTCTTACGGGGGTATAGAGGTCAATGGAAATTTATGGGTCACATTGTTAACACAACGGATTACAAATTGTTTCAGTGCCTCACATCTGCGGAATGCTTTCCAAAAGGACACGAACTTTAAGCCCCTAATTGGTGTCCATAAATATTTCGCCCCCTTTGAGTTTGAGACTTATTGATGATATATCTAATGATAAGTTGTTTTCCTTACATGGTTATACATTATGCATATCCTGATGCTTACCGAAAAATAAATATAAATATATATGTACAGATTGACCTGACAGAATGATCTAAACACAGGTGATTCAAGCGGTATTGGGAAATTTCACCCTTAAGTTCAAAGGTGATCCTTCGCGCCCTAACTCTGTAAAAAATATATTTCTGTGAATATTCATTTGAAGCCCTTTTCGGTAAATGATTTTTTAGATTTTCAAGTTTCAAACGATCAGCTTAAACTTATTTTTACTACTTTGCCTAAAACCAAATAAACACGTGAGTCGCCGATTTTAGAAATTCCCCTCGTAATCGTGGTAAATAGGCGGCAAATGGTTGCATAAAACTAAATTGAACGAAAGATTATTTTTCACTTTTTCAGATTAAAATTGAACAAAATTTTTGTTCTGAATTCGATGGTCTTAAAATGTATTTTCTAATATCCATGTAAGAAACAAATTTTAACGTAAAGTTCAGGATCTTACGGGTAAATTTAATCAAGCCACATTGTGTGCTTAATTCCATTCTATGATTGATACATTTTGAGGGCAAAACATTTATACAATAACTTAATAATTAATAAAATATGTCAGGAGACTCCCAGTTGTTTATACTTCAAATAAGGACCTCGTAATCCCAACGATTGACGATCTTAATTCTAATCATTACAAGCTTCAACTGATAACGCTATATCAGTAAAGAGATCGGAAGCGGCACACTTTTAAAGGCATTCTTATGTTTAAGAAATAAAAAAATAAATATATATATATATGCTATATATATGCTAATACCAAATCACAGTTGATTAGATGACTTACTCGTTATTAACAATAATTTAATATTAAATGATTTCAATATTTGTAGATAGGAAATATTTTGGGATGGGAGATGATATTCTTTATCTGCCATGTCCGTATTAGTCGATCTCAAGATGGTAAGAGCTAGGAACTTAAAAATCGATATATGTTATCCTAAAGCACGCGTAGATCAAGTTTCTCCGAAATCAGTAGGTATCGATTTGCATATAAGCTTTTTAGAGCATCTATCAGACCTTTTAAAAGATAGAGAGCCTAATTGCCCACCTGTTTTGCATTCAAGTTAGATAAAGTGTTTTGTTTGTTTTAATTTTGCTATATTTATTAATTTTTTTGTTATTAATTTGTTGTTTTAGTGTTAGTGGTAGTAGTATCGCTTACGAATAGCCGTGCGTTTTGAACATCACGTTTCGTACCCCTGTCATCAATTATGATAATTATTCTGCTCGATGTCAGTGGCGCACAACTAGACGATTCTTAGTTGTCTAAAACAAATAATATTGTCACAGATAACCGAAAGAAGGCCCATTCTCGTTCCATTACTTTATCTTACATATTTGAAACCTAGCGGCGAAAATTTGAAACTTCACAGCGAGCTGTGAGTACCGGCATCCTTCTACCGCAATGGCAGCTCTGCCTGTGCGTCCAGAGTCTCATGAATTGTAGATAAAAATAGTCTATAAACTGCTGCATATATCGCCGCCAGATGTCGCTGGTGCGTCGTCGCTGACAGGGCAAGCTTATCTGGCTGTCGGCCATGTTGAATTTATCTGGCCGACGAATGTATCTGGCAGATACGCAGCGCTGTGCGTCCCTTTCCCGCACATGCGCTCGACTCGTTTCAGCTTCAGGCGTGGCAAAAACTCACCCGGTCAGCCAGTCTCCGCTGTCGCCGCGACGTCGGCAGCAGCAGCGCCGTCCACACACATACCAGTGCATACACAAATACAGACACACGCCGAAGCAAAACCAGCTCTCCCCGCCACAGTGGCCATTCCCTTCCCTTTGTTGCTCCCGTGGCCATTGACCAAAGCGCGTGACTACCATTATTTGTGTCTCTGTTACCATGGAAACTGTGCGCCATAGCCCTGGAGCGGGCCCGGACAGGCACCAGTTTCAATGCTCAATTCTCAATTGAGGCGAGTCTCGATTGTAAGATTGTAGCAAACTCTTTTGAACCCTAACAAATATCGATTTAATTCCTGATTCCTATATTATATTTAGTAGAATTTTAAAAATATTGAAGATATTGTTGTTCATATTTCAATTTAACTACTTATTGTATTTAATACTTTGACATCTGTGCGAAGCTATTTATTCCCCATTTCTCGTATCTTCGTATTTGGCTTACCTAAACAATTTGCCGCCGGCACTTCGACTTGCTGGGAACTCATTATTTAAGACGCGTTCCAATTTCATTTAAATACGTAAGGCGCCTTTTAATTTCTATCGTACCTAATTCTCGGACTTCATCAAAACGCCTTTAAATGAATGGACAATTAGTGACCGAATGCTAATTCCGACTTGCGGGTCTTTGGGTCTTTAGCCTCAAAGTGCGAACCAATTAATTGTGTTGAAGCGAGACGATTTCATTGAACTTGGATGTTTGACTAATTGAGGCGACAATTGCTTCAATTCATGAATAAATTGCCTTGACCTGGCCATGTTTTTATTTCTTGCAGTGGCCTACAAGAGGCTTCAAAATGTTCTAATTTTCTACAGCTTCAAGCATTTAAATTTGCAGAGCATAATGTACTTTTATATAGTTTAATATTTAATTTAATTTAATTTTTTGTATCAAATTTTATTGTCATAATATTTACCCTTTCCTCTGAAATTTGTGTTGTGGTGTGTATCCATCGCAGCCCAGATGGTAACATTAATTTTCAAGATATAAGAACCATCTATTGTCAAAGTATTTGAGATAAAACAAAACTCGGATTTGCATAAATCGAATGCAGAATATATTTTAATTCTGGCAATGCATAAAACTCGCTTTTTTATATGCATGACTATTTCCCATTTCTCAGCGATGGACGGATACAAACAAAAGCAAAAACAGAAAAGCGACAGAAGCTTTAGCTCGCAAAATAGTTAGTATAAAAATGAGTACTACCCGTACGAACCGCTGGTCATTTATGCAAATGCTGCGACTGCAAGTCCTGTGGGCCAAGATTAATATTTTAGTCACGTTAATTCATTTCACGTTTAATTCAGAAATAAAGTTCTTAACTTATTTTGTGCTCATGATGCACGCAAATATATGGGAAGGCCGGCGACATCCGACGAAGCCAGCAACTGGCTCAGGTATGTCGCATACAGGTGAGTCCATTAGGCGTTCGATTTATACTGATACCCTCGACAGCCTAACGAAATGCAGGCTTGTTTATGAACGCTCTATGGCGGTCTCGGTTGCCCCAATGGAGTTGGCATACGGGAATGGCATATCCCCAGCCATGAAAACTAGCTCCGGCACAGCTTTTACTAGGTGGACAAACTGTGCCTGAGATTTACGGCTTGATGAATTAAAGTTTTGCTCTCGTCGGTTGCCTGCTGCGGAGCAATACGAAGCTCCAGCGGCGGAAGCAATTAAGCGAGTGACGGCGTCGAGATTTGGCTAAAGTTTTGTCTGGCGAGTTCGGCGCAATGTGTTCCAAACATGAGGCACAAAAATAATTACGAGAAGGTGGCGAATTTCATTAGACGTCCAGCCAAAGAAATTGACGGGATGTGACTGACTACGAGAAAAATCTGTTGAGGCTATAAAAACTTTACCAAAATATTTGCTAACACTTTTGGTGCCCAAATTAAAAAACAAGAAAGAATGGCAACCTATGCCACGCCGATGAATGAATACCCTTCCATTCACATGGATATTTATACCTCACTTTACTTTCAAATAAAGTTATTTTGTGTATATATATGATGCAATTAATACATCTTGCCGGCTCCGATATATGTACACCTTACAGAGATTAGAAAAACACGTACATTTTTATGAAGATAGCTTTAAAGCTCTTGCTAAGAGGCTTGTTTGCATAGAAACAGACAGACGGAAAAATGAACATAGTCAGCTGTTGATATTAATCAATAGCTTATAATTTACTTGATCAGAAATTTCTCCTTCTATGTGTAACGAATTTCGTAACAAAATACCCTAAGCAAAGATATCAAAAGTCAGGGAAGAAAAGAGACTAGTGACAACCCAGCTCAAGGTCTACCACTTAGTGGCTGCGTCCTATAGACATGCCTCGTTTTTACCGTTTCCATGCCATTACCCGGTTCAGGCGTAAGCCCAAATAACATTTTGGTCTCTGTCGCTGCGACAATCATCAAAATATGAAAGCAGAAAAACAACGCCAAAGCCAAGTAGATTCGTTTTTATTATTTATGTTAGCTTGCTGCTTTTTGTTTTGTTTGTTTCCATATCGTGTGTACATCTAGGTGTGTTTCCCCGAACTAGTGTGCCATAGGCCGTCTGCTGTGCTTTGAATACTGGGTGCTCTGTACTGAAGCCCCATGCTACGATTGAAGCGCCTTCCATGCCCGAAGCAAGTCAACAATGAGGGATTTGTTATTCTTAGAGTTAGCCACGTATCCATAGTTGTGAAACAGCTAGTTTGTCTATGCACGAAAATGTTAAAGGGTGTCTTAGAAGATATCTTACACCACTGCAGTAACGTATTCTCGGAAATATTTGCTAAAATATTTAATTATTTCGCAACTCCCTGGCTGATACTACAGATTATAGAATTATTGAAAATCTCCTCTGAGAATAATTGGTATAAGGTACTAGCTTATTCAGGTTAATACATAATACATTTTTATGAATTATACCTATATATATATGGATATAGTATAAATAACTAAAGAAGATTTTATATAAATAAAGAGAAATGCCTTTTCTTAATCAGAAAATACAATCGTTCTATTTTATCATCATATAAAAATATGTCTCTCCTCAGTTTTGAAAATTCCTTCTGTTGATAATTATAAGTCCCCAAATTCGGAATGTGGCTTCTCATATAGTATACACATATGAAGTATATTTAAAGATATTAAGATACCGTCTGTGTGTCCGTCTGTCCGTCCGTCCTTCTGTCCGCCTGTCCATCCGTATGTATGAACGCAAGGATCTCAGAACCTGTAAGAGCTAGAGAATAGATACTGGAATTTGGAATGAAGGTCCTCCTGCTTCGATGTAATAGATTAAAATTTCATGACGATCAGCATTTCAGTATACATCTGCACACATCTACACACATTCATGGGCGTTTTTTTAACTTCTATCAACACTATTGCAATTGGAATTGTATTGTATTCTGTGCTACGTGTATTTGTTGCTATTTTAATTAGTTTTTTCTCTTCGTAAAATAATTGAAGGTAGAGACAGTAGAAAGTAATGTAGTATTTTACGATATCGAGTGTTATTGGGAAAACTGTTTTTATTAAATTTATTTTTACTTC